CATTAATATAATGCCACACCAGAGAACAAATAATCCTAATAGGCCATTTAGGGTCGATATGAACCAATCATTTGAGGACTTGCACTCCAAGGAAGATATACTCCCTAATTCAATATGATCCAATTCGGTACCCATATTTGAAGACCAACAGGGCCACCCAAGCATTTATGAACTTAATAAAACCTCTACAGTCTCAACTGAGAACGTAAACCCTCTGTCATTCGATCATGTGTGCACTTACATTTAATTCAAAAGGATCACGAAGTTTCATTCAATACGTTAAATACGAACATTTCAAATAGTTATGCGAACCACACATCAAAACCCTTAGCAGGGTTCCAAAACAGCGCAAACAACTCAAACATAAATCAAATAACATTTTAAACAATATAAATAACATAACTGATAAGTGTAGAAAGAGCTTGAAAAATTTTGCCCATTTCGAAATTGAAAAACTCTACCTTAATCTTGTGCCAATTTGAAACTGTCAAACATATAAACATAACAATTTTTAGTAATATTTTAGGAATAAAATCAATTTATCTCACTAAATTTATTTTTATAGTTAGAGCCAAGGACAAAATGGTCATTTTATGCAATTTTGCCCAAAGTGTCAAATCGCAAGACGGCGACCATTTTTAGAATCCTTATGAAAAATTAGTTTGGGCACCATTAGATCTCCAAAAATCACACGACAAGCCTCCGTCGAAAATTTTGACCACTATTCATCATCTTCTTCCTTGTGGCCTTTGACCAAAATTCTAAGTTCCCAAAATTCTGTTCAACCATGGTTCTCACACCTCAGTACACCTTTTTCACTCATTTCAAGACCTAGCTACACTTTGCATAACTTAGTTTCCAACCCAATTGGTCTCACCCTTCGAATCTAACTTTAACCCCATCAAAATTATGGTTGAAGTTGACAAAAACTCACTTTTTTACACACAAGGGCGGACTGTTTCATCCCCAAATCACCTCCAAATCCAATTCTGAGGTTGAAAATGAGTTCCTAAGGTCCAAATTAGACCGAAGTCCCCTTTCGGCCAACCTCCAAACCACTTCTAAGCTACTCCAAATCCACCCAAGAACAACTCTATATAATTTAATTGAAGCTTAGAACACCCTAGCTATGAAACCCGTTTCAGGAAATCCAAAACCCATCAACTTCAAAACACAAATTCGTGGAGTTAAATTAGCACAAATCAGATTCTAACTATACTAGGAGATTCAGCAGAACAAAATAAAGCTTGTAGTATATCTTTAGATGTTTGAAGCTGCCTCCTAAGGAATTCAAAATTTTCAAAGTGTTTTCCTCTATCTCTCTCTCCAACGATTTTTCTGCCCTTTTAAACCACTCATGATGCTGAGTAATCCCTTCCAAGCACCTCTGCGGAGGTCATGCAGACCTCGGAAGCCTCCTCTTGCCACCTACCTCCATGGATGAAGCTTGAAGCTTCTTGGACATTTTGGTCTTTTCCCCTATTTTGACCAATTTCCAAAAATTATTTAAAAATATATGTATATATTTTTCAAAATTTCAATCATGTTAAATAATTAGCTATAAAAATTCTAATTAATTTATTCGGACCTAGGTTGGCCTTCAATTTAACCGAAAAAAATCGTCCGAACCCCTATCTTTTTGGTATGCTCTAACCCTACTTTGTCCAATTTGTTTTCTCTCCACCACTCATGTTCCTTCATTATATACTAACCCTAATCATCTCTAGAACATCTACGCAACCTCTCTGAAACTATGAATTCCTAATCCGACTCTCTGAACTTTGAACCCCCAGGCACTCGCGCACTCTTCTCAAATTACCGAACTTTGGGTTGTTACTTGTTACAGGTTTGCCTCTCTAGTCATGCCCTTAGAAACTAGGAGAAGCAAAAGCTTGACCTTATTGGCTAAAGAAGGCTGTCAAAAATCCAAAAGAATGATGGGTTAATGTTGGAATTTGACCCAAACTCTCTAATTGTTACGAAGGAGAGTTTGTTGGGTAATCAATATGAGAATCCTATATATAATATGATTATATTTGAAGAGTTAGTATATTATGGATAAGTATATTAGACATGTGATAGGAAACATAAATATCAAGTTGTATTTGAATAGGATTGGGTTACAATATTTTATCCCTATAAATATGGTTGAGTATTATGTAATCAGTTACCAGATGACCAAATTTCAGATTTCAGTGAATAATATATCTATATTGATTCTTAGTCCGTGGATGTAGGTACGATGTACCAAGTAGGTATGCTATATCGAACCACGTTATATCTTTGTGTCATGTTTTTATTGTTTTCTTAAATTTGAATTCCTATCTTCCAACAGTATTATTTGTGTTAATTATTCACTGTGCAAAATCAACAGTTAAAATACTAAAAGGGTTATACTTTCCTTCAATAGAATTAGGGCAAACCAACCAAAGTTGGTAATAAGGACGAGTTATAAATGCAAACGTTCAGATCTTGGTAACTTCTTGGGTCAGAACATGAGTGATTTATCTCTCATGAATTTTCTAGTTCTGGCGTAGATGAACTATCTTTGACCGGATTGGAGAGGAGATTAGTCGAGGTACGCATAAACAGACTCAAACACACCCTCATCGATGAACCAAAAAAAAAAAAAGGTATCTAAAAGACAACCAGAGCTTCTAAATTGAAAGCTCATTTTATTCGCAAGTCAGGGTCGAGCCATTACATGCCTTAGTGGCTAATGAGCTTCAAGCATGGATTGGTTTCTCTTGAAAGAGATCTTCTAAATATAGTGAATGTTTAGGGATTCTCACATGGTTCAAACACAGAATGTTTACATCTGTTATGACTCTTCCACCTTCTTTAACCACAAACTATTTCAAACAGAGAAAGTGCCTTTCGAATCCATTATTTTATGGGATTCTCAGATGGTATAAGTTTCTCGGTCCTCTTCTTTTTTTTTTCTTATTGATTGTATGATCTCCCTTCCCCATAAAAATTGATCATAGAATGAGGTAGTGAAAAAAAAAATTTACACTATTTTCTGCCTCGTCAATCTATTTAAGCTTTCTTTACCTAAAAAAACATAAAATTATGAAATGACAAAAGATTTACATGAAATTGCAGCTGAAATCAGACATAGTCGCATACCCTAACACTGCCACAGACATAATCAAATAGCAGCCTCCCCAGTCAAGTGTTGGATGTGTAGTCTACTACATATTTGAAGAAATGGTTTGATCCATATCCAAGGGCGCATTTCCCTCTCCCCCCCCCCCAACCCCCAACTTTTTGTATTCCCTTACATATGTACTAATATGAGATTTTATTTTGGTTTAATTGAATACATTTGTTCCCTCTTACTCTTTTCAAAATTAGTATATTGGTCTAGTTCGTTTTTATTTTCCGGAAACTTATGATCCACTAACCTCCAAAAGCAAATATTTTTGTATTTAAATTGATTAAAACACATTTCAAATGTTCTAACTTGCATAAATGTTGGTGGAAAATAATACCAATCTCATATTTTTTAAAACAATTATATAGTTGCCTCTGGTTATTTTTTAAAAAGTTTGTAGTAAATTATCCCAAAAGCATTTTTTTGCTATTTTAAATAATTGGTTTTTCAGCAAGATGAATTTTGAGCACAATTTGAAGATTTGAAAAAAACAGTGTGCTCCATTTTTATATACTAGATCGTGCATACATGCTTTGCACGTGGACTTTTTAAGATATGATTTTGTTTTTGAAATAATTAAATAAATATAATGGAAAATACCTACTTATAAATCTAACCTTTTGAATATTTCTATTATATAATTTGTGTAATTTGTTATGGACATAACACTACATGTTTGCAGAACGAATGAATATTAGTTTTTATTTTTTATTTTTTTGCTCTTAAGTTTGATGAATTACCTTCGTGTAAATTTCTACCCTTAAAGTTTATAAATTATCACATGAAATTAATTATTTAGATTAATTTTATTTGCAACATCATAGTAATGGTATAAATATATTTCATAGTATGTGGGTATATATAACTAAAAAGTATCATAGACACTTATTAAATTATGAAAAATACAGAAATAAACTATTTTAAATTATGGTGGTCATTTAATTATAAACAATTGGTTGAGCAAATTTAAAAGTTAAGTTGTGATAAGTAATTTAGTGTAATATTGAACATATTCGTAGCATTGCTAATCTATATAAATAAAATATTTTCTAGTATTACCAATAAACATAACTAAAGTGAATTTATTAAAACTAAAACATAAAAGAGAAGAAAATAAAAAGTAAGGGTTTGATAATATTATCCAAATTATATTGAAATAAATCTTATATTAAATATGACTCTAGTGTATTTATGCAATTTCATTTGAAAATTCACAAACTTTTCATCAATTAATGAGATAGAAATAAATAATAGTAAATTTAATTATTTTAACAATTCATTTTTATCTTTTAAAAGAAAGAATATGAAAGGCTTGAATATGTGCAATATTAATGAAGTTTTATTAATATATAAATTCCATATTAATAATGTTAGTATTGTGAGAGTCAAGTTGTCCAATTAAAAGTTTAACATCAATCTAGTCTTATTAATATGAGTTTTAAATTAAATAAGGATATTATTGTCTTTATATATTATTTTAGGGTTAAAGTAGTTAATCAAAAGTTTTTCTTAATAATATACTTTCATTAGTAGTATAGATGAATATATTCGGCTGATAAGTACCAAGAAAATTTGAATGAATTTGTTGTTCATGTTTGTTTAGACTAAATAAAAACTAATTTTACTATATCATATCTTAATTTAGTCTTAAATATTAACATATGTTATCCCTCTTAAAATGGATTTTTACTTATATTCTCTGGCCCATCTATCTAACAGAATTCTGGCTCCTGCTCTGTCCATAAAAGCTACAAATTATCTAACAGAAACCTTTCCATAAGTTCAAACTGTTCATTGTACAGTCAAGTTCTGCAAACAAAAGAGAAACCTGATAAAAACAGTTTAACCTTGCACATCATGAGGTTACTACATGCATTACGTTGAGTTAAGTTCTCCACCATCAGCATTCTTCGAATTGGAGCACTGCAGCTAACCCATATGAGTTAAATAAGTTCTCAATGTGGTCTGTAACATATTTGGATGCCTTAACATACCTGTCCATGTGATCCACTGCTGAATCCCCTGAAGAAGAAAAAAAAAAAACTAGAATATTGAAAAATAGTATCATAATCAAACTCATCCAAAAACACTACAAACATTAATATATGTGAATTCAGTATTTTGGTGCAAGCAAATTTAGGAGTAGAAAATAGATTTGCAAGTAACTGTTCATTATACATATTACATACAATCAAGTTAATAAGGTCCAGTTTTAAGCACGCAACTTAACATTTGTAATTTGGTATGTCAACCAAATAACCAACTAAGCAACATGAAAAATCATATATATAATTTTGACAGTTGGTGGCACGAAGTCAATAACAGCGTAGCTCGACAGAAAAAATGTGGCGCCGGTGTGGCTGTTTATATTACATAAAAACTTACAAAATATTGCAACATGTATTCAATTCAAGCGACTGTGGCAGCAAGTTATGGTGCAGTATCCACTTACAAGTTTCCCCTAGTTGTTCCAAGAGTTTTTCCATTGTAGGAAGGTCTTCCACCATTGTGAACAGATGGACAAATCTATTAGCAATATAGCTATGGTATGGAGCAAGAATGTTGTCATATGCCACGTTAACTGGACCAGTTAGGGAATCTTTCCTGCAAATGAAATCTAGGTGTTGTTAAAACTTGTTAGATTATTCTAACAATAGTATATCTGGAAGAAAGAATAAAGTTCACGGAAAACTAGAAAATTATTTATGGAAGAAAATTTTGATCTATATCATTGAATTATGCTTCTCAAAATGACAATGCAACCCCAAGAATTATATAAGAACCTACGGTAAGTGGTTGACCTACTGATTATAAAAGTCACTTTTACTTATTTATTAGCAACTACAACTTCTTTCAAAAAGTGATAGGACAAAATCTTGATAAAAGATTAAAATGTTACTAGCATATGTAATGGTAGCCTTAGCTGAATATTAAGGTCCATTTGTACCTCTTGACGTTTCGGTTTCGTTCAAATTGATGAAAAAAGCTTTTGATGTTAGAAGATTTTTCATGCCGAATATGCAAAGTGCGTAGTCCTCATATCTCTCAGTTCTTTTCGACAGACAACTAATATACCATTCTAATTACTGCATTGTTAGCTAGAAAAGAGAGGGCTATTGTACTGCACAGCAAACAACTCGCCCAAGCTGAGCATAAAACCAAGAGGCATACCTCAGTGGTTTACAATGGTCCAAAATCAGCTATTGTCTCACATTTTTCCTTTAGTTAATAATTTTGGGCGTTGCCTTGAAAAGTCCATTTAGTGAGTGAGGTGTTCAGAGTTTATGGCCTAAAATATTAAATCAGGCATGACTCCTGAGAACACAGAGTTCCTAAAATCAAATGATTTTGTACCTATTATTGCTACGAATTCACAAAACATAGATATATAAAATGAAATTTTCTAAGTTACCTATTATTCTTTAGAATTTGCTCAAATATTACCCTGAGCATGGCGATTGAACGCTTCACTCTCACAAGGTCTCTCGAATTATACCATTTTTCCGGTGGCCTTCTCGTTTTCCTATCCTGAACAATTAAGTCAGCAACAAAAACAAGAGTATGGTCTGCCTCCGATGCATTCTTTAGCACTCCAATCTTACAACCACAAAAACAACAACAATGAATAAACACCAAAATTAATCAAACATTTATCTATACAACAGTAAAATAAATATCAACTGAAAAATGATTAAAAACATCAATATATATGTTTTTAATCATATAGACAATACCAATTAAACATTCTAATCAACCTTCATATGCTTTCATTTCCACACAAATTATCATTCCATGTATTTTCATTTAATTATTCTGCAGGTTAATCAGTCTCTACCTATCTATTTTGCTTTTCACCACCCATTAAGTTTAGATAAATGCTAAATAGACTTTAAAAAGTGACTTAAAAACTTGACTTAATGAATCATTACTATTGAAGTCAATGACAAATGTAACAACAAAATTATCAAGTCATATTTTAAAGTTAATTTTTTAAATTTGTGTAACATTGCTCTTAGCTTACAATACATCCATTAATCATCTTTATTGTAAGGAGAATAACGTATTGCCATTAATGCAATAATGGCTATATAAAGAATATTTTAAGCAAAATAATAAAGACAGTTATTAACGGCATGATTTCTCGAATTTGAGTTTTCTACATAGGCATCCATTCACTTCCTGGACTCCTTTAATGCAATCCCTCTGCCTTTATAATTTATACACACACCATACCATGAACTTCTTTGAAACGACTAAAAAACGGGTACATAGTTTGGGGTCTATAAGATTGTATAATTGCATTTGTAGGAGGAAAGAATGACTAAATGAGATACCAAGTGTGTTGTCCGTTGCACTCGATAGTCGAGCCAAAAAAATTGACTCTTATCATTGTAACACTTTATTTGTAACAATGTCTCAGTTTACGTATGCTTTCAATTATAACATAACGTAATGATTGCGTATAGCATACTATCACAAATATTAGTTTCACACATTGTAAGTCTGGGCTTTATTAATGATATTAGTTGCATTTCTAACCTGATCTAGCAACACCTTTCTTTTTTTTCTTTTTCTTTTTCTTTTTTTTTTGTTCTTTTGGTCTTTTGGTTATCAGATTCATCTAAGAAAGCTTCTTCGTCCGTGTGATTAAAATCTCCCTTTTGGTTATAAAATGTTAGATCATTAAACTTTTGAATACATGAAATAAAAGTATCCTGAATATATATAGAATTTTTTGAAAACATAAAAGGAGATATAAAGTTTGTGAAAATCTAAGTGGACTATAGGTAATTTTAAAATATGAGAGGGGGGGGGGGGGGGGGGGAGGGGGATGTCTCCAAGTAGTTCCATCCCTGCTATCATTTCACCCGTACGATACACTGGACTTATAATTCCTTCTCTCTTTTTTTTTTATTCCAATCCCCCCTTTTCACCATTTTCTTTTCTTAACTTATTATTTTTTAAGTTAGAAAATAAGTTATAGGAATTAATGGATATTAAAAACTGATTTAAAAAACCAAATAAGTGGTGGTAGGTGAGAGGGAATTTATGAGTGGTTATTTCTTGTACTTGGTAGAGTGTGACTAGATAAAATAGTTTACTTTCATTTAAATGATTCAAAAATACAATGAATTAAAGGAAGATGTAGGGAAGACTTGCAAAAGCCTTCTGCTGAAAAAATAACTGCTATAATAGCATAGATATGGAAAACAATGAGAAGGCTTGTAAAGTCTTTCCTCTCAAATTTTTTCAATTCTAGAAAGTTTGGTTTATTTTAATATTCACTCCAATAACATTATTCCATGTGATCTCAAGTCTAACCACTCCTCCACTCACTAATAACTACGTATTCAAAAAAATTTCCAACATTAATTAGTATCACCTTAACTACCGTTTGGTAGTATTCAAACATCGCTATCCTAGGGAAAGTCTCGACGAGCTAAAAAAGATGTAACACTTTCTATAGGGCTTTGAAAAACCCTACAACCCTAAGATCTAAAATCCAAATCATCTTGATCCTTCCTATTCAACTTACACATTAGTGAAGAAGATCTTGCTTGGTGAGAGAAAAAATCCACTTTGGGGTGTGCATTCCAAAAGTCTTGGGTGTGAAGCCTTGAAGATTGCTCGGGGGGGGGGGGGGGGGGGGCTACATGGTTAATTGTGGTGAGCACATCCAAGTAAAGCTACTCAAGATTTCAGTGGGTGATATCTGGAGGAGAGATTTATAATGGAAAAGAGCATCTAGACATGAGAAGTGGTTGGGGCATAAGTCTCAAGTTTGTGTAAATTGACTTTGAGAACATTGGATTAGACTCTTGATGAACCCTAAGTGGTCCCCCACAGTTTTTTTTTTCTTGAAGGATTTTCGTGTCAACAAATTACTTGTGTTGTCGATATTTTTGTTGATTACTTTAATTTCACACGTGCATGCGCACACACAATGTTTGATGACTTTCCATTTTTCATCGATTAGGATTTTGTGTACATAGACTTTTGGTATGAGATCATTGTCGTGGTAAGTTAGGAGGAAAATGAAACAATTTTTTGTTAAATATAAGGAAAATGGTAGTTTGTACCTTGGAAGATTAAAAAGTTCTCAATTTATACCCTCAAAGGTCAATTGTTTTAAATTATATCCTCAATTAAATTAATTGATAGCAATGTAATCCCAGTCATAACATCTGTTGCAATTTTCATCAAATTAACAACCACGTGAGGCGTACGTGAAAATAGAAAAGGTCTTAATCTAACAAATGTCATCGCGTACATTTCACGTGGTTGTTAATTTGATGAAAATGGCAACAGACGTTATGGTTAGGATTACATTGCTTCTAATTACGTTAATTGAGGGTGCAATTTAAAATAATTGATCTTTAAGAGTGCAAATTGGGAATTGTTTAATCTTTTGGGGTGCAAACTGTTATTTTCGCTTATATATGTATTAAGGAACTAATCATATATTTGGGGGTTGCCATGTGAAAAATATGATAATTGTGTTGACGATTGGTCTTAATGTTTTTGGGAATACTTGGTGTTATCATCTTTGGTCCAACAAATTCGACGTTGCTCACAAAGATGTTTGAGGAAATGCCTGACATCTTTATTTGGTCTAAAGTTGAGTATTTTCATTGAATTTAATAGGCATTTGATTTTTTTATGGGTTGGTGCTAGGTGGTATTGACAGTTCTGCTGGGAACCATCCTATAATCGCAGTGGGGGCTGAGGCATAATAAAATACCATGGAGGGATGAAGAGGAAGAAATGCTAAATGTACATATTATCCGACACATCTTCCTTTTCTTTTTGTGTGTGGTATGAGCTTACATTGATCATGAGAATAGGCAAGCGTTAACAAAAATTTGGCAGATAGTAGAATTTCAATGTTGCAATGAAACCAAAAATTATGTAAAGTCTCTTTTGATTCTCTCTGTTTCCGACCAAATAGTGCAAAACAGAGAAGGATCTTAAATAAGAAGCGTCCTGAGGTTAATGAACTGTTGATCATTTGTTCAATTCCGCAATTCAAATAAATAAACACCAACTGATGTAAAATATTTGTATGTTTAAACATGAGACTTATAATGAGATTCACGATTAGAGTATTAACTTATCAAGAAACAAAAGATATGGGTCATTATATAAATTTTTAAAAACCAAAAAGGGTGGAGAGGGGCAATATACTAATTTGAAGACAGTCATAACCAGTAGCTATGTCTTGGTTGTAGGTTTTTTACTATATTGCAATGCTTTTATGTTCAACTAATTATTTAAAGAGGGCGTGGAACAGGGGCGGAGCCACCCTCGGGCTAGGGTGGGCACATGCCCCCTCAATTTTTTTTACTTCATATTATAAGTATGTATTTTTGGAAATAAAATTTAGACATATTTAATTATGTCCACCCTAATATTATGTTTTGGTGATATTGATTTGAATAGACTCCTACCTAAATAATTGTTACTTTTTTGAACAACGTTATTGAAACCTAATTTAAAGACCTAATACATTGTGATATTAAGTATAATAATAAGTCTTAATATTTAATAAACTTTACTATCTATTCAATGGTTACAAAACATTGAGTCTCCATCAATTAAATTTCAAATTAAATACAACAAATATAATTTTTAACTTTTAAACATGTTTGGATATGTTTTGAACATATTGATGTTATTTTATAATTTTTTTAAATTGTAGGGTTATTTTGTTATTGTATAAAAATGTATGTCGTTATGTAGTAAACTATAGGATTATAAATGAAAGATTGTTACCGCGATTTTGTATATAAAAGAACTATTGTTGATAAAATTAATTTGTAACTCTTTTAAATAACAAAAAAATATCAGAGTTAATTGTAAGTAATAATAATTGTTCGCATTCTCGATAAAAAGTTTTAATTATTATTTTTTTGTTAATGTTATGTATATCGATTTTTAATCTTCTATGTTTAAAAAATATTAAATATAATTTTAATAAATATAAATTTATGAACTTTTAAGGTGTATTAAAAAAAAATTAAAACATGTCAGTGTGCCCATCCTAAAATTTTTTTGGCTCTGTCTCCGGTGTGGAAGATTAGAGAAAGCTTATTTTAGGAACGAAAACGAATTTTACGGCACTTTGTGAGCAGTGATTGCAAACTGGGTATTGACGAACAACTGCATAATGTACATCCAAGAAAATTTTAAAAACAATATTATATGAACTTAAAAAATAAACTTAAATAAGAAAGTCTCCTCGAAAGAATTTCAGCTATAACCGATAAGAACGTCAACAGGAAGGCCATTTCAAAATTTGGAGGATCTCTTAACTGGTTAGGGATTAAAGAGATTTATTGTATTTCAAAATAAGGAGGATCTCTTAATTGGGCAGGGATTAAGGAGATTGATTGTCACATCTATATAAAAGTACAAATGATTTTCTTTGATTTTCTAGCTTTGCTAGGGTTCAAAGGGGGCCCCGCCGGGGGGGAGGGACTGCAGTTTAGTGACTGGGGTTCTTTATAATAAACAAATTGTGGGAATGGTCAAAGATTTTTATCCATGAGGGGAATGCTCTACAAGGGGAAATGGGTTGTACATGGGTTGAAAATAGAAAACAGAAAACAGGTTGATGATTCAGGATTTGTTCAAATATTTCTTCTCCATCCTTTTGGTGCTTAGGGTGTGAAGTAATATGAAGTATAGTTGCCGTCATATATAACTTCCCTTTTGATGCCTTTATTAATGTGTTTTGTCAAAATCTAAAACACCCAGCTATGTTATTTTCATTTGGATTGTTGGATTTGAAATAGATTTCTTCATGTGAAGATTTAAGTGATCAAATTTAAAAAAAAAATCATTTTTTGAAATTTAGGAATTTATGTTTTGAAAAACAAAAATTTTAAATTGATGCCTTCAGACATGAGTAATTACTAATTTACCTCAATAGTTACACTTTTATCAGAGTGATCCATTGAGAAGAAAAACCCATCCACGAATGAAGGAGAACAACTTCAAATAGTTAGTGAAAAAAAGAATTATCACCTTTTTCCTAAATTCTCTTTGGACTGACGCAAAATTGGATCCAAAGTGACTGATGAAAGTGGTGATGTGGCCACAAGCAGAAACGAGCCGCAAAATCTTAAGACCTGATTCCAATTGCAAAGAATGAGCAAGTTCCTCAAACGATTTCGCAAGTTCCTCCAGCATCGGCATTGTAGGGAGAGCTTCTTCTTAATTCGTCCTTGCTCTCTCTCTCTCTCTCTCTCTCTCTCTCTTTCTCTCTCTGTGAAGGTGGGTGTCGAGTGGTACATTCTATGAACAAAGAATTCACCTTTTAAATAATACACAAAAAATGAAATTATTAAATAAACATTGTATTTACATTTGAGTTTCATTTCAACTATTAGCAATTGCTACCGGTGGTACTCTTCATGAATGAAGAGTATACCTTTCAAATGAAACATAAAAAATGAAATGGAGATTTGGTGGGAGTTCACATGGAGTAACTTTTTTAGCTTTAAATCAAGCCTCAACACTTTTAAAGCCAAAAGTCTATAAAATTAATCATTGACAAAAATATCTTAAATGAAGAGTTTATTTAAAAAAAAAAAAAAAAAGAGAAGGTTATTTAAAAACCTTTATCATTATCCAATTTTTATATTTATTACTACTACCATCATCGTTCCAACGCTGCAACCACCACCACCGCCCCCAACACCACCGCCATTGCCAACCATCACCACCCACCACCATCAGCCCACACCAACCACCCATCATCATCACCACCGCCAACAACAACAACTGTCGTCGCAACCACCACCACCACCACTGTAATTGCCTCCACCACAACTATACTTCAGGAATAAAGAATATACTTTTCAAATGAAATTATTAAGTAAACATTGTATTTAAATTTAAATTTGAATTTTATTCCAACTACTAGCAATTGTCACTAGTGGTACACTTCTAGAATCGAAGAATATACCTTTTCAAATAAACACAAAAAAGAAATTACTAAATAAATATTGCATTTACATTTGAATTTAAATTTCATTTCAACTATTAGGAAGTGCCATCAATGATACACTTTAGGAAGGAAGAATATACCTTTCAAATGGCATTACTAAGTAAACATTGCATTTATATTTAAATTTGAATTTCATTCCAACTACTAACAATTATCCTTAGTGGTAACTTCATGAACGAAAAATATACCATTTCAAATTAAACACAATTACTAAACATTGAATTTATATTAGAATTTAAATTTCATTTCAACTACTAATAAGTAAATTTGAATTTTATTCTAACTGCTAGGAAGTAAATTTAAATATCATTCCAACTACTATGACGCCACCAATGGTACACTTCAGGAGTAAAGAATATACCTTTCAAAAGAAATTACTAAGTAAATACTGCATTTACATATGAATTTGAATTTTATTTCAAAAACTAGCAATTGTCACTAGTGGTATACTTTTGGAACGGAGAATATACCCTTTCAAATGAAATGCAAAAGAAAATTACTAAATAAACATCTTATTTGCATTTGAATTTGAATTTCATTCCAACTATTATGAAGTAAATTTGAATTTCATTTCAACTACTAGAACGTGCCACTAATGATACACTTCAGGAACAAATAACATACCTTTCAAATGATATTACTAAGTAAACATTGCATTTATATTTAAATTTTAATTTCATTCCAACTACTAGCAATTGTCACTAGTGGTACACTTCATGAACGAAAAATATACCATTTCAAATTAAACACAAAAAAAAAAAAGAAATTACTAAATAAACATCGAATTTACATTAGAATTTGAATTTCATTTCAACTACTAAGAAGTAAATTTGAATTTCATTCCAACTACTAGGAAGTAAATTTGAATTTCATTCCAACTACTAGGAAGTAAATTTAAATTTCATTCCAACAACTATGACACCGGCAATAGTACACTTCAGGAGCAAAAAATATACCTTTCAAAAGAAATTACTAAGTGAATACTGCATTTACATTTGAATTTGAATTTCATTTCAAATACTAGCAATTGTCATTAGTAGTACACTTATGGAACGAAGAATATACCATTTCAAATGAAACAGAAAAGGAAATTACTAAATAAACATTGCATTTGCATTTGAATTTGAATTTCATTTCAACTATTCAAAAGTAAATTTGAATTTCATTCTAACTATTAGGACGTGCCACCAATGGTATACTTCAGGAACGAAGAATATACATTTCAAATGACATTACTAAGTAAACATTGCATTTACACTTGAATTTTAATTTCATTCCAACTACTAGCAGTTGTAAAACCAGTAGGTGGAGGGATGACTAGAACGATTCCAAACTGATCAACATCCATCACGTGACGGCCTCAAACTGGTCGGCTGGTTAGTCATAAAAAATTTACATTACAGACGCAATTTGCATTAATTAAACTCAAGTGAAAGAGATCGATTGGTCTTCCACGAGGGATAAGAAAATGGGGTGCAAGAATCAAGCCACTTTTAAACAGAAAAAGGGGATTCCAAGAAAGTGAGAACATGCGACATTATGCCATAGATTCGAAGCCTTAAACTTAGGTGTCTATCACATGAAATAATGGTGTTTTTTTTTCTCACAAGAGGTCCATGCGCTCCATAAATTAGCTTTGCTCATACAAGTGATTACTTGGGGAAGGTAATTGGATTCATTAATTTAATCAAAAGAGGTTGATTAAGATAAGCATTACAATAGATTAGTTGCACCAAGTCCAGAGCTGCAACAGTTTTTTAAAGCTTTCAACCATTTCTTCTTCTATCTAAATGGAACATTATGTCTTCCCAGAAGACCCCACTTCATTAAAATATTTCACTAGATTCAACATTGTTCGAATTTGATATTGACAATTTACGTGCAAGTATACACGATCAATAAGTAATAAAGTGATAAGTATAGTATCGTTCCCACGGAAAAATATTGCTAATAATTTTAAAGTACTAACTTTATATAATTCAATTTTATTTAAACAATTGGAATTGAACTATGAAATGACTAATTTAAGCTAAATCTAAACTTAACAATCAAGGGTTGAATTTACCGGTAAAAGAACTTAAGATTACAACTTCCCCTAATGCTTCTTATAAATCTTTCTAACTCTCTTTCCAGTTAATTGATCAAAATAAATTGTTAACTGAGAACTCAAAATTATTTATCAAACCTCGTCCGATAACAAGATAAAAATATCTCTCTCAATTAAATTACTATATTCCTATGCAAAATAAGTTAAAATAGATTCATTAAGTACAAAATCTCATAAAAGTTACACATGACATACATGTATATTCCTATTCTATACACAAACCCTACAATTCAATCCTAAGAAGAATTAACCAGACGCATGTCATCATATTCAGATCTAAACCTAGAATTCATCTTCCAATTTCATCTAGGTTATCAAATTGATTGTTGGCCACACAATCATACATCAATCACAAAATATGACAAACAACTCATATAAGATCAATAAGAACTAGAAATGAGAGTAGATTAATTTAACTAGACATAGGTTCCGTTGCAATCTTAATGAAAATTTAGTTCATAACATAATTGAAAAATATCATTCTAAACTTATACAACATCTTAGAAAATCAAGAAATAAAAGTAAGCGAAAATAATGAAAACTTAGGTGCAATCTTCAATCATTCTCTAGCCTTCAAGACCAATCTTCTTCATGTCGATTTCTTCGATTCTTGTTGTCAATTTTCTTTCAATTCCTTGGTATTTCCAAATGTTCTCAGCCTTCAAAAGTTAGTATATACTTTTTCCACACAAACCCTAGCATATATGTATCATTAGGTTTCAATTTCGGGTCAAAAATAAGGTAAAATTTGCATCATGGACCAACACAAGAGCGGGGGCGCCCAAAATGGTGTAGGGGCATTGTTTTAGACAGTAAGTTGGCATTGGGGAACCAGTTTTGGGGCTGGGCCGCCCCCCCCCTTTCAGGGCTAAAATGCCTTTTAGCCCCCTCTTCCAAAAATTCAACTTTTTGGCTCCAAATTGACCTTGTTTTTTCCCAATTAATCATGATTCCTTCCAAACTATCTTCTCTACAAAATAACATCAAAACACACAAAATAAATAAAAATAAACATAAAATAATTAAAAACTTGCAATTTCATCAAACCGAAAATACTCAATTCGTAGGTATAAAACCCACTCATCAAACATATCATTCACTTTTTAAAAAGGTAAGCACGAATAAGACTGCATACATTTGAAACTCTCCAAACTTCCAGTAATCTTATACATTGACATTTTTTTAATCTTTTGAAAGGCCTTGTGAAAATAATGTTGCTCACTTTCTAGATCAAACATATAGCATATACGCGAATGATAGGTGCAAGAAATTGTCGATTACAAGAAGTTGCATTTGGATTAAACATCCAAATTGTCAAATTTTTGGCTTATGTGAAAAGGTTAAAATGGAGGTTACAATTTAAAGCTGATACAATACAAGTTAGAAATGGTTCCTCCTAACCATTCTCATGACAATGAATTTTAACCTTACAATATTACTAATGGTGTAATTTACGTGGTTGTATAGCTGGGCTCATAGGTTCGTAGCCGTTAATAGTCAATCACAGAGACAACAATCATTTATTAAAATAGATAGATAGGAGATTTATAGTGGTTCACCAACTTGGAAGTTTGGCTAGTCCACTCTAATAGAGTCTCTTACTCTTTTGGGGAAGAAGATTACAAGGCAATTGATGGTGCAATTTATTGATATTCTCCCCCTTTCTAAAGCGAGGGATTGGTCCCTATTTATAGTGTGTAGGAGTTTCCCGTAGTCAGCGTGATCCCTGGGTAGCCACTGTGATCCTTTCGTAAGCAATGACCCTTTTTTAATAGCAGGGATCCTTGCGTAATTAATGTAATCCTCCGGTGGTTGTTACGACTCATGTGCCAAGAATCTTTAGCAATAAGAGGTTATATTCTCTAGGCGTGATATGACTTTCTGGAAGGTTTGAGATGTCGTTGTCATAATGTGCTCAAGCTGAAGACCTGAGCTAGGAGTCCGAGCTGCTCTGGGCTGAGCTTAACCTTGGAGAATTTTTGGTATTATCAGTTGTCCTCCAGTCTTGAGCCAAGGCTGCCTTGCCTAACATGGATCAGGAATGACCTATGTTGCTTATCATATGTTTATGAGCTTAAG